TGATGGCAGGTCTAGCCTCTGCCAAAGTAGAAGAAACATCCCGCAACAGTGGTCCCGCCAAGCGGAAGGGAAGGAGGGAAATCATGCAAAAAGAGTATGGTGCCCGTTGGCTCCGTGTGCGAAGGCTATGGTCACTGCAAGTCAGATCACTATAGCTGAGTGCCACGGCACCGGAACTGCCCTTGGAGATCCTATTGAAGTTGGGGCGCTTCGGGGTGTCATGGAGCCGAGAGACACGCCATTGCTGACAACGAGCGCCAAGAGTAACATCGGGCACACGGAGGCATGCGCGGGGATGATCGGGCTGATCAAGTGCGTGAGCATGGTGGCCAACTCCCAGGCCCATCCCAATTGCCATTTGCACATGCTGAACCCGCACCTGGATGTAGATGGCTTCCCCAGCAACTTCGACACCGAGGTGGGCAAAAGGGTTCGTAGGCCACCAAAGGTCTTGCCCTCCCTCTAATAAGAAGGATCGCAGCTGGGGTCAGGGCCTTTCATGGTTTTCAGGTGGTTTTCCACTGAGGTGGTGGATACTCGCCTCAACAGCAACTACGCTGGAGTGTCATCCTTCGGCTTCAGCGGTACCAATGCTCGGGCAGATGTGTGGAGCCAATGCAAGTCTGGTCCGCGCAAGGCACAAGGGGCAAGCGAGGGCCTCTTTTTGTGCAAAATTAGATCTTGAAGGGTTGGGAAAAGTCGAGTCCTTGATAGAGGTGTGCAAAACTTGAGATGCTCGCCCTCCAAGCTATCCTGTGCAGGCGAACACCAAGCCGGACATCTCAAAGGCAGACCAAGTACACATGCGCTGTCCGGTTACCCTTGGCCCGATCGAAGCCACCACTGGCGAGCCGGTGACACAGTCCTTCAAAAAGAGGAAGGCATACAAGGCAGGGAGGGCAAAGGCTGATCCTTTGTTTGAGTGGATGGCTCAGAATGCGTCCGATGGCGTTGCTTCTCCGAGCGAAGAAAGGCTCTGATTTAGCAATGCACAGCTATGAACAATGCAAGCGAGGGAAGGTGGCTTTCTTGGGTTTCCTTTGAGTTACCTTGTGCCGTGAGACTTGACACGTCATTGGATGCCGGGCTTGAATGCGGCGTGGGCGTTTGGTTGCAAGTCAGATGCCGTCAGCAGCGCTGCGCTCCCTAGGGGGGGATGTGACGACGCATCACTTGTCAATAGGAGCGAGCTATTCTGCTGAAAGGCTGTATCAAGAGTGTTTCGAGCTTGGGTGGGTCAGATTGGAAGGTTCAATTCACATTCATGCTCCATTTCGGATCTGGAGGTTTCAGGTTCAATTTCGTGACCTGGCACTGCTTTCTTCCACCAAGCGCAGCTACCGTGATTCGCCAACCGTCCAGGATATCATGCAACACATTCACATTCTGACATGGCGGATTTCCGCAAATTCAACACCACAGAGCCCAACAACAGTGTAGAAATAAGCCATTTACGAAGGAGTGTTGATGTTCACGCCAACACAACACCAAAACAGAGCGTCCCTTTTGCAGTGCTTGTGAAGACTGCTATGCTAATGAGCTCCAAGCCTGATGCCCTCCCAACTATTATTTGTGAACAGACTAATCAAGTCAAGAGGGTGCTTTCCATTGTGTGAAGGTGTGAATGAGAATGCGTTTGAGTTGTGGCTCTTTCTATCACAGGCGGATGTGCTACGCGATGAATGGGCTTCCTATGACATCTCTGCGCAAGCTTATACAGGAGGTTACAGATATCGCAGACGGCCTCTTCAGGACTTGGAACGCAAAACTTGTTTGATTAGGGCAGTTGAATGCTACAGGTGCAGGGTCAGCTTAAGGTTGCCATGTTGACACTTGGAGCGCCATTGCGCCAAGCCATAATACGTCGCAGCCAACATGTCTGAGGACAGTTTGGACGATTTGGAGGATGTTGACATCTACATTTGTGGCTCATGGAGTGGATGGACCCAGATGGAACCGATGCAAAGCCGCGGAGCCGGCATCCCGTTTCAATCAGCAGTGAGAGTGAATTGTATTTTTCCTAGCGTTGCTACCTAAGGCTTACTTCGGCAACAGTAAGGCAGCGTTAGATGGAGGGTTCTCAAAAAGTGCCCCCGTTCGTGTGTGAGCCGGCTCTTTCCCAAAACGCGCAAGTGCATTTCGACGTCGCACACACACACACACAAAGCCTTCGACGCACGCCGGTGTTTGCGAGGGTGCGCTCTCGCTGTGGTAAACAGTCGATCGGTGCTCTCTTTATGGGTTTGGGTGTGTCGGAGTGCTCTCGCCGTGGCGCCGTCCAACTTTTGAACACCAAAGCTGACCTTCTGCAGACGGGTTTGCGTTCAATCGCTCTTGCTGTGGCGTGCGAATTTTGAGCATCGAAGGGGAGCCCTTTGCGGACTGTGGCTGTCTCCCATCGCTGTCGCGCAGCGCAGTGCTCATTTTGAAATCGCTTGTGCAACCTTCTACGCAACTTGTGTGCGTCAGGGCTTTCTTGATTTCCTCCCAAGAGATCATCTACATATATATTTGTTTCTCAGATCTTCTCAAGATCTTGCAAAAGGACCTACGTAGGCCCTTCTGTTGAGCTCCTTTGTAAATATATTGTAAAGATTGCTCAAAGGGAGCGTGTACAGAGTTTTTGCAGCCTCAAAGAAGTCTTTCGACCTTCTGCAAAGATCATCTCAAGAGATCTTGCGCAGATCCCGCTAAGAAATCCAACTCAGAGATCCTGTCAAGATCAAGATTGTATCACGGTGCAGGGACCCTGTAAAGATGCCCTAGGCTTTCTTGAGATTGAGGAATTGTGCATAGGTCCTCCAAAGAGTTCATGCGCAAGTAGTTTCTGCAACGAGTATTGACCGTGGCTCATGTACTGAAGAGATGTTCATATCCTCTCGAAGAGCTCGTTTGCCAAAATCCTCACAAGAGACCTTACCTGCATCCAGATTATAGACCTCGTGCTTGACTCTTTGTGTAGATCTTATCAAGAGATCTCGAGCAAAGCCTTCTTCAGCGGACTGGGACTTGTGGTAGACTTCCGCACATGTCTACATATAATACATATAATACATATAATACATATAATACATATAATACATATAATACATATAATACATATAATACATATATATATACAGTATATATTGCAACAGTTCTGGTCTGCGGCGTTGGGCTCTTTTGGTCATGGTCTGATAGCCCTCTGGCTGCGTTGTTCTTGTTTCCTTTGCACACTGGTTGGAGTCGCTTGCCAGGCTCTTTTTTTGGTGCGTATGCGTTATGGTCACTGTGCCGACATTGGTCATTAGCTACATTGCTTGATGCTAGTTGTTGTGGCCAGACGTTGCACTGCTGGAGGCAGGCTGAATCTAATTGAAGATTAATTACCCATTGCATATGCTGCAAGTCTTGCGGTGCATGAAGAAGGGCTTCTCGCAGCCCGTGAGTTGCTTTGAGTTCGGTCTTTGATTTCCATGTAGACGTGTAAACATGCTCAACATTCTTGCATTCAAATCAAGCGGAGCTGAATATTATTCGGCAACACCACTTTTGCGTTGCTAAGGCCGCTATGTGGCGCCCGTGATTCTCGGTGATGCTTGCTATGAAATGTTCCGCCTTTGCTTGAATCTGGATAGATCCATGGAGATATATCCTATCATCAAGGCGGTCCGTTGGGTTGCAAGAGACAAGTTCAAGTGTGGTTGGTTGGTGGCTTTTCCTGGCAGCTTTCGTCAAAGCATGCTTGTTTCTTTTTGCCGGGAAACTTGCGCTGGGTCAGGGGCAATGTTTTGCCACAAGTACTTGCTGCCCCATTAGGATGCGTCCAGCCAGATCTGGATTGAGGGCCCAGACAGCAAGTGCGAGGAGCGGTATTGGATCATAGATGGCCGGCACTCTGCAGCAGCCTCTGGTACCCTGTACGAGGTGTGCGAGGGCTTGGGAAGCAAATCCCTTGAATTCATGGATATGTCCTATAGATGCTAAGATGTATGCATGCTTCATGGAGATGAGCTATCCGAGTCATGGTAGGGATTTGTTGGCTCGCCGATTTCGATCAGGTGGAGTTCCAGTGGCATCCGGACCTCAAGGCCATCTCCTGGCAGGAGGCTGTTTGGACACGCTGTATGGGTGTCTCTTAAGGGAGCCAACAAATCGCGGTTTCCCTTTGGCTTCCCTTCAATACCAAAAGGGACCTCACTATTTTTAGAAGCTCCCGTGACGCGGATATGGCCGTTGCCCGGCTGACTCACCAGGAGTCATGGAGCACCAACTTCCACAATTAAACGAGGTGGACGGTTCCTTTTGGGCAAGACCTTAAGAAAACATGTTCGGTCAACGTGATCCAGCTCAATTCCGCCATACCAACTCGGGTCACCTGTCACGAATCACAGAGGCAATCCAAGATCACAAAATCAAGCGTTACAAAACCCCAATCACGAATCTCAAAAACGTCAAGGCGCGCCGGACATTCCCAACGCCAGAGCACATTCCCAATGTCCAGCGGTGAGTCCCTCAATCAAGGGCAAACTGGCTGCAATGGGACTATTTCATCAACACTATCTCGAATAGCATTGGAATGCAACCAGCCCTGAAGTAGCCCCAAACAAATCCAGATAAATCACCCATCGACCTGTGGCCGATCCTACCCAGAAGCCCAGCCGGAGCCCACCCAATCATGAATCCACTCTGAAGGACTATCTCGGAGAACATGACACAGGCGAAACAAGCGAATCACCAAATAAGGACCACAAACACCCGTACCACAAGTCGGGTATGTCCTGATCACGAATTGCGGGCACAAGATACTCGAATGACTGGACTTCCCAATCCGAACTGGACAGTAACATCCCAAACGGGTAGTAAACCATCCCCTGCTTGCAATGTGTTTTGCCTGCTGTTGAAAATGCAAAAGGGAATGCCAGCCTTCACAATGAGACCTGGGAAGATGTCTCCCGGTTCCTTGCGCAGATGGGTGCGAGCCTGGATCTGGGCTGGTCGCCGCCGGCCTATGAGCACAGCTACATGCTGCTGGGCAGCTTCACGGCGGGCCACATGCAGCCGATGAATCACGTGGAGGGCGTGTGGCGCAGCAATTTCCGGCTGGGGGTCACTGGGGAAGAGGAGTTCCAGATCTCCCGGGCTTCTCGGTACGGTGGGCTTTGGAGTGCCGTGGGCGTGGGGCGTTTGGGTCTTGGCATCTTGGGGGCAAACGATTCCGTAAAGTGTGGAGGGTGCCGAGGTTTGGTTTGTTTCAGAGGCCGAATCGGGGGTGCGAGGCGGCTCAGGTCAGATGGCTATTGCCAATGAGTTTTGACCGTGGGGTGCATGTGAGATGTGCGAGCTCCCAGGACGGAGACCTCAACCAGCTCATCTACCCAGCCCAGTCTGGGGCGGTGAAAACGACCGTGCCGGCGCGAGGTCCAGACAGCCTGGGCCGTGAGAAGTTCTGGATGATCCGGGGCATGCCGGGCGAGAAGATCGAGGTCCTCCTGGAAGTGGTGCAGCCCTCAGCCGAGATCCTAGCTTGTAGACCAGTTCTGGCGGGTCTTTCTCACCCTTGCCAGCATGGGCAGCATGGGGTCTCTCAATTGGACATTGATGAAGAACCACAACTCAGCTGCGAGTGTAGACCATGAACATTCCAATTTTTCGGAATCTGTCGCTTTCACTGTTTTTGGCTGGACTCCTCTCTTGATCACCGGCATTCTCAGATATGCAGGTGGAGGGCCACGTCAGGGTGACGGTTTCCTCAGAGGTCCGGGGTGACAAGACCTGGGACTCGGAAGACGGGTGGGAGCGGCACAGTTACTACGCCTATGCCTCCTGGAGCGGCTGGGCGCCCTTGCTGAGACGGGGCGGCCGCACATCCCAACGAAAGTTCCACACCACTCATTGCCATGATTTGCCAAGCACAAATAGGAAGATGGACAGAATGGGTGTGTGTGTGTGTGGAAATATGGGACATGCACATTTACCAAATTAAAAAGACAGGTAGAAGAAGATTTTGGGTGAATGGTCATAAGTCCAGTTTGCCCGAGAGAGTGCAGTGCTTTGTGGCAGTGGAAGCCAACTAATCTTGAGTAATTCGCAGGGCCGCCCTTGTTTGTGTTCCCAGGGCAGTTTTGGAAACCTGATGAGTGTCAGCTTTGGTTCCGCAATGTAAACGTGCTGCACTTGGCAATCGCCCCAAGGTGCCGGTTCCCATGGTCATGGATCCTTCAGAGCCTGGGGTGTTCAGAGCTTATGGAAAAGTGCAGGCAAGCTTTGCACCGCAGTATGGCTGCCACGTGGAGCGCTTTTTCCTCATTATGGATGAGGATATGAACCAGGCCCTCTACCCGCAGCTAAACTGTTCCGAGCCCTTCCAGTATGTCATGGAAGGGCCCAGTGGCAATCCATCTTCCCTGTGCTGGCACATCCAAAGTAGAGTGCCCGATGCAAGGTTCGAAGTCATCCTTGACCTCACTGCAGAGGATTATCGCCACAGGGTGTCGTGGGTGGGAGAGGCCATTGGCCGAGCGGAAGCTCTGCCCCTGGCTTCCTGATTCTCGCGCAACTTGACTGGCTTGTCAACTGAAGAGGGTAGACGGACCCGCAGCCCGAGAATGCCAGACATAGCATATGCCCGCTAATAAATAAATTATATATATATATATATGTGATATTTTATTATTTTGATATATTTATTTAATACTTTTTTTTTTATTATTATATAATAAATTAATTAAATCTATTATAATAATTATAACTTATAATAATAATTATTTAATTTGATAGAAATAAATTATATATTAATAATCTATTAGAACTATAATATTTACTCTATAAAACGGACCGCTTTTCCGAAAACACCCCGGATATTTTGGAAAATTGGTCCGGGCTGCTTTTGGAAGATGTAACCGCTTCATATTTTCTACGGACCACTTACCGGTTACCCCGGCCATACTCCGGAAGATGTAGTGATTGCATTTTTTGTAGGGACTAATTGTAAGCGCTTCGCGTTGCCCGCCTCGGCCTAGCCTAGTTTGAGGGAAGGGTTAGACACGAGCAGGAGGTCAAGGCCTGGTTAGCCTGGGCTGAACTGCTTGGGCAGCCGGACTGGGGGGCTGGGGCACGTCAGACAGGCTTGGTAGCTGGCGTACCTTGAGACCAGTCTCAGATGCGTGAGATTGGTCGTTGGCCTGAGGCCAATCTCAGACACGTTAGACAAACCTGACCTTGGCACGCTGGGCTGAGCCTGCTGGTGGGCTGGGAGCTGGGGGCCGGCCTAGTGGCTGGCATGCCCTGAGATGCGCCGGGGCCTGGGCTGGGCAGGCTGGGCTGAGGTGGGTTGCTGGTTGGGCTGGGCCTGAAGCTAGTCTCAGCCACGAGGTTGCGAAGCCATGGGTGGGTTGCTGGCTGCCGGGCAGCCGGACCACGCTGCGAACTTGGGCTGGGCGGGCTGGGCTGAGCTGTGCTTGGGCGGGTTGCTGGATGGGCAAGGCCTGTTTCATACACATTTGGGCCTGAGGCTGGGTGGCGAGTTGCTGGCTGGGCTGGGCCTGAGGCCAGTCGCAGACACGTAAGACACGCCAGCAGGCGGGCTGAGGGACTGGACCTGAAACTAGTCTCATGCTGGCATACTTTGAGACCAGTCTCATACTGCGCCGAAGGGGCTGGGCCTGTTGGATGACTTGGGGCCAGACGCGAGCAGGAGGTCAAGGCAAGGCCTGGCCAGCCTGGGCTGAGCTGCTTGGGCAGCCGGACTGAGGGGCTGGGGCACGTCAGACAGGCTTAGTAGCTGGCATATATGCCAGTCTCAGACACGTGAGACTGGTCGTTGACACTGGGAGCTGGGGGCCGGCCTAGTGGCTGGCATGCCCTGACATATGCCGGGTGCTGGGGTGGGCAGGCTGGGCTGAGGTGGGTTGCGCTTGAAGCTAGTCTCAGCCACGAGGCTGCGAAGCCATGGGTGGGTGGGCAGCCGGACTACGTTGCTGGTTGCGCCTGGAACTTGGGCTGGGCGGGCTGGGCTGAGCTGTGCTTGGGCGGGTTGCTGGATGGACAAGGCCTGTTTCCCTGTTTCATACACACTGGGTGGCGAGTTGCTGGCTGGGCTGGGCCTGCGGCCAGTCGCAGACACGTAAGACACGCCGCGGGCTGAGGGATTGGGCCTGAGGCTAGTCTCAGGCTGGCATACTTTGAGACCAGTCTCACACTGCGTCGAAGGGCCTGCTGGATGACTTGGGGCCAGACGCGAGCAGGAGGTCAAGGCCTGGCCAGCCTGGGCTGAGCTGCTTGGGCAGCCGGACTGAGGGGCTGGGGCACGTAGCTTGAGACCAGTCTCAGACACGTGAGACTGGTCGTTGGCCTGAGGCCAGTGTTAGACACGTTAGACAAACCTGACTGGGCTGAGTCTGCAGCTGGCGGCCGGCCTAGTGGCTGGCATGCCCTGAGATGCGCCGGGGCTGGGCTTGGTGGATGAGTTGGGGGCGTGCTTGGTTGGGCTAGCCTGTTTCAGACAAGCTTGCGCCTGAGGCTGGGTGGGCTGGGCTGACAGGCCTGGCCAGGCAATTGTCAGCACATTTTCGACAAAAATGGACCCATGAAGCTGGACGCCGACGAACCCCGAAAATTTCAAGGCCCGCCGGACAGGATTTTGGGCTAGCCGACATGGGTGGAGGGGGTTGGGGGAGGGGAAAAGCATTCCCGAAATATTCTAGATATTTCGGGAACATCGTAGTCACCTACTATTTTCTCGAAATATTCCGAATATTTCGGGAACCATTTTCCCGAAATATTCCAAATATTTCGGGAAATATTGTCGTCGCAATATCCGGAATCTTTCGGAAAAATGGTCTGGACTGCAATTATCAAAATATCCGGGATATTTCGGAAAAATGGTCCGGGCTTTGAACGAAGCCGTTGTGTCTTCCAGATAAAGAGTCGGGGCCTATATCTGCTTGTCCGTAGCAATTTTGGCTGAAATCTTGGCCCATCTTCCGAGATTTTGGCGATGCGAGAAGCTGTGAGCCGCGGCCGATTGTTGCGACCAGTGGTGTTTTTTCCCAATGTTTTGGGCGAAATTAGTTCGGTTTTGCTTGCACCCAGGATGTTTTCTTGTCGATCGCGTTTTCGCTTGCGCTTGCAACAACTGCGCGGATCTGTTCTCACCTTGCTCAGGCGACCGCCTTTCACTGACTCTTTGGCGTGACCTTATCGCGACCAGCCCGGCCCTCAGTGCGTCTCGCGACCTGTGTTTGGAGAACGGCAGCATGCTTGTCGCGTGCGACGAGTATACATTTTTTGATACATCTGACATAATAAACTATGTTGGTGCCTGAGTTGCAAAAAATGTCTTGCCGGCGCGGGCTCTATAAGATTTGCTTTGTTCTTGGCACACCCGCCACGGCCTGAACCTTCTGAGAGCTCGCCGCGTTTTTGGCGCCCGCCTCAACTTACCCCTAATTGCTGGTTTGGATTGGTGGTTTGGGGAATCATGTTGAAGTTGACTGGGAAACCACCCCCTAACCTCCAAAACACCGATCCAAACTACTAATCCAAACCAGGCCGGTAGCAACCCGGGCGGGGTGCCCAGTCCAAAGAGGGGAACACCTGCAACCACCTCCTGGCAGAATACAGCCGTCGTGGAGGACAAACCGTTTCGCACTGGCTCGCACCACTGGGCGAGGGCGCCAGGGGACAAGCGGCCAGCGGCCGCGTGCAACTGGGGCACGCGCAGCCGAGAGCTCGCGCGCGCGCGTTCTTGCAGCCCGTCTGCGTCACGGCTCTCGGGCGCGGAGTCGGACACGTGCACGTGCGCAGGCGAAGCCTGTGGCATGTCGATCAGAATCCGGCGCGCTGCGCGCCGGAGGCGGGTCTCTTTTTGTCTCTAGCTCTCTGTGGGTGTCTGTCTCTGTCTCTCTTTGTCTGTTGGTCTCTCTGTCTCTGGTATCTGTTTAATTGTTTCTTTGTCTGTCTGTCTGTCTATCTGTCTGTCTGTGTCTGTCTGTCTGTGTCTGTCTGTGTCTGTTTGTGTTTGTGTTTGTGTCTGTCTAAGTTTGTGTCTGTGTTTGTGTCTCTGTCTGTGTCTGTCTGTTTGTGTCTGTCTGTCTGTGTTTGTCTGTTTGTGTTTGTTTGTCTGTGTTTGTGTTTGTTTGTCTGTGTCTGTGTGTTTGTCTGTCTGTGTTTGTTTGTTTGTGTTTGTGTCGGTTTGTTTGTGTCTGTGTGTTTGTGTGCGTGTGTGTATTTGCGTTTGTCTTTGTCTTTGTTTTTGTTTTTATTTTTGTCTTTTGTTTTTGTTTTTGTTTGTGTTTATTATTGGTTTTGTTTATTTATTTATTTATTTGTTTGAAAATGATATTGTATAATCTATTTTTTGAATTTATTAAAAATCGATGATATTATATAGATTAATTGTTATGAATATTTAATATTTAGGGTTCGTTTTTTGAAAATTAGGATGGAAATTGAAGCATATTGTGTTTAGGTGTATGTAATATTTAAGAATAAGGTTTAGAATATTATGTGGGTAATTTAGCGAGGATGTTATTGATATATATGATTGGGGCATGAAATCTGAAAATCTTTTGGCCGTTATTTCGATTTGGCTTTTAGATGTGTTGTATGGGCTTATTTGGATTGAAAGATTTACGGAGGAATAAGAAATAATCTTTTAGAGGAGTGGAGCGACGAATTGGAATCGATATGTTTTGTTGATTTTTTTGGTTTGGCTTTAAACATGGATGTTATAAAAGGGTATTTAAGTAATAAAATAAGATTTAGGTTAATGACGAAATGGTGAAATTGGCCGATTAAATGCTTGGAACCTACCCATGCAAAATATTTCGAAAGACTATGCACTATATTAAATTGGAAATCAAAATACTAAAAACGAGTTATAGATAGAACTTTTCAGCAACATTTTAATATACTTCCTAAAACATTGCGATACACGAAACAATAGTGTGTCTCAAGTGTCCGATACTAGTGTGTAAATATATAATCAATAAAAAATGGCCGTCTAGAGAACGAACCCATGGATTGTTAGCCTCAAAAAGTCCATCCCTATGTACAATTGTTATAACGCACCCTCGACCAGAAAATTGCTGGAAAGCAGCGGACCCCCACTAATATATATATATTATTTTAATTGAATCGTTATATATAATCTATATTTAAACATTATTGATATATTAATAATTAATTTTAGAATTTAATATATTATTGAAATTTTATTATTTATTAAATTATATAAACTATATAATATACATATTTTATATATGTCATTCTATTTAATTTATATATATATATATATATATTTTTCAATTAATTAATTATTATAATTATATATATATACTCTTTTGTTTTTCTTATTTGGTTTCCTAAACATATTATGAGGGATTCTACATTTATTTAAAATGATTCGCCTATTGCCAAGCGATAGTCTGGATGTTTGGCACAGCTCTCTAGGTGGACGGGTTTATTTATCTCCCTTTATCTCCCTTCATTTGTCTCCTATTATCTCCTAGCCTCCTTCATTTATCTCCCGTTATTTCATAGCCTGCTCTCTGGGTGGATGCGCAGCTTGGACGCCTGGCACGGCTTTCTGGGTTGGCGGATTCATTTATATGCCTTTATTTCCCTTCCTTTATTTCTTGTTATTTCCTAGTCTGGATGCCTGGCACGGCTCTCTGGATGGACGGATTCGTTTGTCTCCCTTTATTTCGTTTCTGGTTGGACGAATTCATTTGTCTTTCGTTGTTTTTTTGGCTTGGATGTTTGGCACGGCTCTCCGTATGGCCAGCTTCATTTATCTCTCTTTTTGTCCCTTATGGGACGTCCGCTCAGAGAATTATATCGAGAGATAACGGGAACCATCTAGCCAGAAAACGGGGAGACAAATGAACCCGGAGGACGGAATTGTTTGTCTCCCATTACGGCTTTCCGAAATACTCCGTCCACCCAGACAAAAGAAACAAATGAACACGTCCGGCAAAAGAAGACAAATGAATCCGTCCATCCAGAATGCTAGGCTAGAAGACAACGGAAGATAAATGCCTCGCCCGACGCTCTTGGTTCATTTCCCAGCCGCGTGTTTGGCACGGCTCATTTGTCTCCTTTTATTTGCCTCCTGTTTGTGGTTGCCTGGCAGGCTGTTTGGATGAACGGGTTTATTTGTCTCTAGAACGGGAAACAAAATGACCAAGGCAAGAAGATGCCTATTGTACCGAGCACACGGAAAAATTAGGTTATATATTTCCCTACGAAAACAAAGGCTTTACTGAATCGATACGAAGAATTGCTAGAATACAATAAAGGTATTTTAGAACACTTTATTGAGTAATAGATTGCTTGATACGAAAAACACTGTGCAGCTAAACGAGAAAGAAACGCAATTCACCGAAGAATTTTTGCTAAGATGAAACTTGTAAATGCTGGAGACATCCGATATTATTAATACTAGCAGTAATAGTAGCAGCAATAATAGTAGCAGGCTCGCGCGTTAGCAAAATTACTAGATTAGCGGTATTTATCTATTTGGAATATGTATATCAAATATAAGCATTAGTGAAGATAGAATTTCATAGATTCGGGAACTCAATTTATATGTCGTATTGGGGCATAGAGAATATAAATTCTATATATATATATTTTTTCCAACTGAATATATGCGTGTTGCATAATTGCATTGCATATATTCTTCCACATATATACATATATATGGTTTATATATATTTATGTAGATATATTATAAATCAACACAGAAATTTTCTCTGGTTAAATATAATTGTGGGATTCACTGTTGTATATGACTACAAATGCCTGTTCCAAGTGAGTGTATATATGGATTCCAGGTATGTATTATAGGTGAACAGAAGTGTGCTTTCTAGATATACAAACATATGTGTTCCAGGTGTAAATAGACGAATATGCGTGTGTGTGTATGTGTGCGTGTGTATGTGTGCGCGCGTGTTCCGAGTATATATATATATATATCGGTATGTTTATATATATATTTTTTTCCATATATATACATATATATTCATGTATGTATATATATGTGATCCATATATATATATATGTATTTGTGCGATCCTATATATATATATATGTCCCATTTATATATAGATATGTGTTTATATATACATATTTTTGTATTCCAATTAGACACATATTTGTGTTCCAGGAGAACATGTTTGTTATTAGATGAATATTCGTGTGTGTCTGTGTGTCTAGGTACGTATAAATGTATGCGTGTGAATGTTCACGTGCACAATATATATGTGCGTGTTCCCTTATGCGTATGTAAATCTTTATGTATATATATATATATATCTCCTATATATATATATCTCCCATATATTTTTTTTTAATTATATATATATAGATATATATATATGTTCCAGGTGACCATATATTTGTTTTTTGGATAAATACTTATATATATCTTCCATATATATATATATGTGTTTTCGTCTACACATATATGTGTGTTCTACCTGGATACATGTTTGCATTCCAGGAAAATACCGGGTTATTATTAGATAAATATATTAATGTGTGTTCTAGGTATATATACATGTAAATGTGCACATATATAGATATATGTGATTATGTATATCTTCCACTTGCACACAAAGATAAATATACATTCCATATATTATATATCAATTAATATTTTTTATGCAATATATTTGTTCTTCAGGTATATATATATAATCTAGAAACCATATAATTGTTTATAAAGTATATATATATATGTGTTTAAGCTAAACAATTATATTTATTCATATATATACCTATATATATTCCATATGTATTCATAATATATATATAAATAAAAAATTAATAAGCATTAATAAATTATGGTTTTTCCTAAATTTAATTATATATATTATTAGTGTATTTTATTCAAATAAATATAATAATTAATAAATATATATATATATATAAACACAAATATTATATAAATAATTTAAAAAATATAAATACAAATATAAATATATATATATATATATAAATATATATATAAATATAATATATATAAAAATTATAAATATTTATATGTTAAATTAAAACACCAATATATAATTCTTGTAATATATATATATTTATTTAAACCATAATAAAATATAAATTTAATTTAAATATATATTTATATATTTATAAACCATATATATAATTATCTAGAACATAAACATATATAATTAAACCATATAATTATTACATAAAGCACCTTCCAAATTCGAGAACATTTCATTATACATTATATAAATATTAGTATATAAAAAATCAATGTATTATTATCATAATTATGTAAATTAATGAATAAATAAATCAATATATATATGGATGCAATTCCCCCAAATATTCTAATATGCCCGTCAATTTGCCTTGACTGTTTTTGCCGCTGCGCAGCTGTACACCATCTGCTGTCGGCAAGGCAACTTTGGCGTGCCAACCGCTCAGGGTGTGAGGTTGGGGAGCTCAAGCGATCAGCGAGTGCGCAAGGCATCCACCTCACCCAGCTACCGCAAGGAGAACCTCAAGCCTTGCAGCTCGGGCCTGCTTGATGTACATCTCGCCCTTCCACAGCTCCTTCAAAGCGCAGCTGCAAGCTGTTGACTTTAAAGCTGAGCTACGGCGGTCCTTGAGCTCCTGAGCAATGGTCAACTGCTCATCGTTCTCCACTGCCTATGTCAGTACAAAAACAATGCAGGGAACAAGAACAAGATCAATGGATCCCCTTTGGCTAGCATCCTCCACCTTCTCTGTCCTCCTTGTCTGCCTTCTCTGCCCTCTCTCCCTCCTTTTCTCCCATTCTCCCTCCTTTTCTCCAATTCTCCCATTCTCCCTCCTTTTCTCCCATTCTCCCTCCTTTTCTCCCATTCTCCCTCCTTTTCTCCCATTCTCCCAGTCTCCCATTCTCCCTCTCTCCCTCTCCCTCTCCCTCTCCCTCTCCCTCTCCCTCCTCTCCCTCTGCAGAGATGCGCATCCCCCCCATTGACCATCGGCATGCTTGGCCTTATCTCTGATGACAGGCTTGGACCCAGGACCGCCGCCAACATCCTGCAGAAGTGCAAGGCGGTCGTTCTGCTGGCCAGGGTGTCTTGGGTTCTTCCCAAACACACTCCAAGTCCAAAATGGCTCAAGTCCATCCAGTGATCCTACCACCCACCACACAGCCGGCCTCAAAGAATTTGTCTTCCCATCTCGCAAATTCACAATACCTGGCGAGGGGAAGAAGGGGAGCCCACCCAATGTGTTTTGCAAGCTGAGCCCCCCGGCGCATCAGAAATGTACTGAACGATGTTGCGGCTCTCCATAAGGTCCTGCAACATGTTCCTGCAAACATGTTCCTTAAGGCGCGCTCCTCTCCTTCATTCCAACGCTCGCCTTTCCGTTTCGAGGGCAACATTTACTTCTGCCTCTCTCTCATGCTCACCCCACTGTTGTTTCAGTCTCCTGCACTGAGATGCCATCCTGACGGCTCACAACACTGGTTATGCTCCCTGAAGTCAAAACGACTTCTCTGAGACTGTGCGACATGAACATTTGGCCTTACCTGTACATTGCCTCCGTGCCTGCTCGTAGACGTGGACGTAGGCTCGAGACTTGTACACGCTATCCCATGCTTTGATGCCCCGGTCGAACACCTTGGCGATGGCCGGTGGCAAGACATGATACAAGCTATGTCATGTCATCATTGCTTTTCATTCGGAAGCCACGCCTCATGGACAGCGGTATTGTTCGATGTGAACACCACGCTCTCTCTATCCTGGACATTGACAAGTTCAACCAGACTTTGCTCGTTAAAGTCAAGCAACATGGCAAGCCTTGTTCTTGTCTTTTGCATTGCAAATGTTTGAGGCCTCGGCTCAAAAACTGGTCTCAGTTTCTTTTCGAGCAGATTAAATGTGGACATCTCAGGAAGTGACGATAGAATTGGGGATCCAGTCGGGGAAGAACTTGTCATACCTTGGAAGGGGGCAGCTTTACATATTGGGATCACAAGAAGGGGCTCGACCTGGAGCCTTCTTTCTGGATGTCGTACAAGACCTGGGCTTGACACTTGGGCGTCCACTTTGGCACACGAGCAAAAGACGTGAGAGAGAGAGAGAGAGAGAGGATGTCAATTTGGAAACCAAACATGCCAGGAGATGCCCGCCTTGTCAACCTCCTTGGTCTGGTAGTCCCCTCGCCTCGGATTCACTTTTTTGACATTCTCACGCCCGCGCATGCCATCTCTGAGCTCGCAACCACGCTGCCCAGGAGGCCAGAAATCGAGCCTTCAGGATACCCTGCCGCGTTCGGGTCGGCCAACACCTTTGCCTTTCTGGAAACAGAACCGAAGCAAAATCAAGCCGGGCAGTCATGGAACTCATCGCCAGGGTTCAATGGATCACACTTCACGGTCACGTTGTCCTCTCAAGCTCCACAGCTGGGCGCCCTATGCCAAACGGGCTTTCACACGCGCTTTGCCCTCTGCTCCTTGGAGAACATTTGCTGCGCAAGGTCCAGGACATTGCTTTTCCTATACCTGACGCCAGAAAAGGATCCTTGTGTGTGTGTGTGCGTTCTTACTCATCTTCCAGGGACCAGCTCTCGCTCCGCAAGTTTCCGCACGTGTTGCGTTCCTGGGAAGCTGGCTTCTGTGATCCCGCCGCGGTCAGTGGCGCCAAGCCATTGATGAGGAAGTGGGCGTTCTTGAATGGCACCAGATTTGCCTGCACGCATTTAGGGCCAGGATGGAAGGTCTGCAAACTCAACCAGCCCCACCTGCAGCTTTCGCAGGTCGGCATTTAGCGGTCCCGTGTACCGTAAGCAAGACGTGATGCCAGACCTTGCCATCGGCTGTTGCCGAGTTCACGCGCTTCTTAGTTGCCCAGCATTTGAGAATGAGGTCTGCACATACACATTGCGACCACCTGGTTCAGCTGTTTCATCTTCGGCATGTCCTGTGCAAAGCACAACTTGACAAGCAGCTGCGATTGCAATAATCTGCAGTCCCCGCACCTGCTCTAAAGCCTTTTGGCAAATCTCGCCTCATGCTGCAAGGGAGCAGCTCAAGGGCGAGCATCGTAGATTTGTGGCAACATGCTTTTACAGTTGCGTTAATTATCATCAACCGGACTCCCCGTGCGGTTCATGGGAAGGAGGTGCCATCTCAAGTGTAGAAGATGGTGGTACATGGCCGGGACTGCTTCTCTTCAGCCCAGGGGCTCAGCGCCTTGTTGTCGAAGAGAAACACCTGACTGCCGACCGCCAATTGTTGATGGGTGAAACTGGAAGGTTTGGGCCTGGTCGGTGTATTCCAGCAGATCTTGGAAGCAAAGGGCCCTGAGGTGAAGAGCCCAAGTGTGACCCCAACCCCTATGCCTTCCGTCATGACATCAAGTCTTTACTCTCCCAGCTACAGGCAAACGCAGCCGCCCGGAAGCAGCTGAAGGCATCTTCGAGCAAACCTCCAGGACTCTCGCGCATTGTATGGCTCGAGAACGACGTCGGCAATGCCAGGAGCGGGCGCCTCAAATGCATGCAAGCCCCATCGAGCAAAGAGAAATCAGCTGACCAAGAATTGCCTGTATACCTTTCACAGAAAAATCTATGGGCAGCGGCTTTTTGTAAAAGCCGAGTCCTCCATGGTTGTCTCAGACCCATCATTTGAAAGTGCTTTGTTTTGCTAAAAATCCGTCGGTTCTGATAAGTTTGGCCTTTTTGGCTGGTCCTGTGCACAATTTGTGGGCAGCAAAGGGGAGGAATTGGTTGCATCTCCGGCATCCCAGTCAAAGGCTCTGCTGCAAAACGATTCTGAAGAGGCACGAAACAAGTCAAAACCCTTCCCAGAACTGTAGGCCCGCGCAAGGCAGAAGGATTGCATCACCTGGGTGAGAAACCCAAATTGGCGGTCCTAATTTGTTAGAGTGGCTGTTGGTTCAAAAAGTCTGAACGCCATCAGTGGCGAGCAACCAACCCACATTCAAAGGCAATCGCCAAGAAAAGCTGCTGAGCGGGGCCATGGGACCACCGATTCCGGGCAAACGCGTCGAATGAGGCCACTGCACATCTGCTTTGCTTGTCCAAGTAGTCCCGAAGCGTTTTCAGCACAAGCCCCGTGAGCCTGCAACAGGCATCAAACTGTCAGTCGCCGGCTACTGCCTGCAGCGCTGCAGGCTAGCTCCAATGTGCACATGGATATGACATGGTATGAGACTTTGTTTTGGACCCGTGGGCGTATTTACATGTGGACGTTTGTCCACCAGCTATTAGAGTATTCCTAATCAACACTGATAGCCTAATAGCCATATTATGTCTAGGCCACCCTGCCCTGTTCCAGTGCCGCCGCAGGCAGCATGAGTGAACTGGACCTTGTGACCAATCAATTGATGTGAAATGCCTGCACCAGCCACTCAATGAACACCCAGCGTTCCACCTTTTGAAGGGAACATGCTGAAGACCTTCCTGGCAACCGTTTCTTCTATCTTGATTGACCTCTTGGATTGGATTGGGTCGCTCGTCAGCTCATTCCCAACTCGGCTCGCCACTCCCTGAAGGCAGTCGCACTTTTCCACCTGAGCTCAATCAAAACCCTCTGACCTCTAGTTGACCCCTACAAAAACTGCCGACAAGGATTTTGGGCGCTTCTCCTTGCATACAGGCAACGGGCCCGCATGCTCCTTGCCCCGCCTCTTTGCGCACCATCTCCAAGCATCTGTCTGCTAAATCTGGACCTTCGGTGTGGAAGGCCTCAACATGCGCAAAAGCTGCATGGCAACCAAAGACTTGGACCCAAGAGGACACGCCTTCGCATAGCAATTGCCTGAAGACTCATCATTCCCAATGATGTTCTCCGGCCTTCGCACAGTCCCTAAAGTTTGCATACGCATCTTTGCCACTTAGCCCACCTGTACAAATCGCCCACTTGAGCATCCTGTCAGGCACACGTCAACTTGCATCTGGACATCTATGAAAGATATATATATATATAAAGAGTAAGCCGCACTTTTTCTGCGCACAGCAAGTCCAACTTTGTCATAAATAAAAAGTTACGTCCTCTTTGTGGTGGCTAACTAGCCCTGGGCCCCTTGCCCGTTTCTTGTCAAACTGGGGGCCTCAGGATTTCCCTTTCCCGCCAAGCCGAAGAAAGAGGAAATCCCCCCCCGCACCCCCCCTAGCTCTTCCGCCAAGCCGGAAGAAACTAGGGCGCTCAGGTGCAATTTTGAGGCCGTCTGAAAAAGAAACTCCGGAACAGCCTAGCCACCACCCCTTTTTCCCTCTTTTCGGGGAAGGGTGGGCGGGACCTTAAGCTGACGTGGCTGCGGCAGACAAGTGCTTTACTCTTTATACCCGCTACGTGAGTCCAAAGAGTAAGCCGCACTTTTTCTGCGCACAGCAAGTCCAACTTTGTCATAAATAAAAAGTTACGTCCTCTTTGTGGTGGCTAACTAGCCCTGGGCCCCTTGCCCGTTTCTTGTCAAACTGGGGGCCTCAGGATTTCCCTTTCCCGCCAAGCCGAAGAAAGAGGAAATCCCCCCCCGCACCCCCCCTAGCTCTTCCGCCAAGCCGGAAGAAACTAGGGCGCTCAGGTGCAATTTTGAGGCCGTCTGAAAAAGAAACTCCGGAACAGCCTAGCCACCACCCCTTTTTCCCTCTTTTCGACCTCTTTCCACGTCCCCCTGTACTGCGTCTCGACGCTCGCTCGAGCCTCGGCAGCGCACTTCTAAGTGCGTTTTGGTATAAGCGAACCCAAGCACTCAGTTGGGATTGAGAGAATCTCATCTCGGCTAACATAGCCAGCCCTTCGTTCAGGTAAATGCGGGCAGTCTTCGCTGCCTGCCACCTGCCTTGGACCAACAACCTGTCAAACTGGCCATGACGTTGGAACCAAAAAGTAGCGCCACCCCTGCGCAGGCTATATGGCCGAAACTCAAACTCAGTCACTCGAATGTCAGCCAGGAGCTGATTAAAAGTCTTCCGCCAGGTAGACGGGGAGGCACACATATAGGAGCCGCTGGGCACTGAAAGCACCCACTGTTCAAGACGCCGCACCACATCCCATACGGTGATTGTGCAGCTTTCGGCAGCTCCCTGACGTTTGCCTCCCTTTGTCCACCCCAGCGAAACAACCGCGGTTTTGTGATCCGCACTCACGGAAACGTGACGAGCCTGAATGCTAAGCAACTCTCCAGTGCGTAGCAAGCCATAAAATCCGACAAGCAGAGAAAGAGCCATTCCGTGGTTTTCCTGGAACAAACATCGGCCCACCATGGCCTTTAAAAGGCTCTCCGGGAACGGGGGAGCTCTGTTTGGTATCTCATTGCTGTTCCAGGCCTTCATGAGGCGCCATGCTTGGGGCATTTGGTGGCGGAGGCTGGGGTCCAAATCTTGCAGTCCGGCTAAGGTATCTGAAGCCAAAGCCCTGCCTTCTCCCTGGGACCACAGAGTCTCGATATAATCGGAGACCAACTCATCCATTAAAAGTTTCTGCTTTGGGATTGCGATCCCTCCATCCCGCAAATGTTTCAAAAAACGCGTCCGAGCTTTCTCATATCTGGTACGCGTGGCTGGCTGCACAGTTAAACTTTTGAGTGAACCCAAATCTTTCCGAATCTTCGCTCGCTCCCGTTGCGACCTCCCTTCAACGTGCTTCATTGCTTTAACCATTTGCGACGGACACCTCTCCTGCTTGGCCTGTCGGCCGGATTCTGGTGCGTGTGCACATACCCCCATAGGGGCTGGGAGCGTGTCGCGAGGAGTAAGCAATTGATTCGGGTGAGGGTTCTACGAAGTTTGCGGCTCGACGTGCGGCCACGACAAAGGCTGTGCAGGCAAACCAGAGAGTCAGTGAGATGGATCCATCGCTTGTGCATCTGTCCACGTTGCTCGAGGCGCCACTTGACGGTGCTCAGGATGGCGCGCAATTCCAAAACGTTGATGTGGTCCGTATGTGATTTCCAAGTCCATCCGGCCACAGTTCTCCACCGCCACAATCTGCTGGGGATAGATGCTCGCAACCTGTGGAACCGGACATGGACATCGGTAGAAGCCTGAAGAAGGAGATCCTCTCCTTTTATAGAAATGACTCCCAGGAACTTCTTCACGAGCTTCAATGATGAGTCAACCTTGGTGCCCCTGACAGCCCTCAAAGGGGGCCGCAGTAGTACTCCCTGGAACGTAGGAGACCATCCGGGCGCGAGGCTCTTCACGATGTCCTGCAAAGACCGCGGTGCACACAGTCCCAACGGGAAGAACAGCCAGTATACTAGCCAGGTGATCACGAAGAGGTTCCAAGAATTGCCCACTAGACTAAGCCGGCAATCTTCGAACTGGATGTTGCCATGTTGCGACTTGGGCATGCAGGCCTTGGTGTATCCCAACGGGAACCCCATGGCCACCTCCCGCTCTTCGATGTCAGGAGGCCGCATGTCGCCCTGCTTGTTCCACACACAGAACTTGTCCTTGTACTGGTACGGCGGGAATCGATGACGGTCAGCTTCCCACCGGGACCGCTCATGTGGCTGGCATGTTCCCAGCCCAGCAGGCTTGCGGCCAGGCGCGGGGGAAGGCCGGCTAGTGGTGAAGGTGGGAAACACACCACTCGGAGGCGGCTTCCAACCCCCCTTCAAAAAATCTTTCCAGTCCACAGTAGCGCTTAAGCTCACCAGGCCGACATCTTTGCCAGGAGCCCCGGGCGGTTGCGGCTTTAAAACTCCTTCTCCACCACCCAGCTCCCAATCGACCCAGTACAGCCTAGGACGCCGGCAAGGACTGACCTGACCACTGTCCACATGCCAGGGCCCAAAACCTATGGCCTCACTCATGTGATGCCTGTCACGGTCATCCATGGATGCAACACTTTCCATGAGGAACTTCACCTGGCACCATGGGAAACATTTGCGGATCAACGCGGTAATCCGGGGCACCTCCGCAAAGAGGCAGCTTCGTGCATCTTTCAAAGCACCCTTCTTGTCAGCGTTGAGCCCGGAGACCCCCTGGCAAGGGGGTCCGGCCCCTATGAGCACTACTCCTGCCGAGGAGAACTGGGTGGACCACTGCAGAACGACTTCCTCAGTTACGGTGCGTACATCATCCCACATCACGGTTCCTGGGAAGAAGCTTTCGACAACCCTGCGGGCCGGGGCATGTGATTCAACAGAAATGTGCCCACACATAGGCAAGCCAAGCGCATCGCAGGCCAGGCGAAGGGCACCAAGGCCATCAAAAAGGCCTACCGTCAACACCTGACACATGTCATGGGGTTCAGGCCACTCCCCCCGGATACTGGCCTGGGAGGCATGAACCCCATAACTCGTGAGGCCTTTTGTGACGCAGATGCCTCCACCAGTGGTGGACGCATCACTGGCAGTGACATCTCCTACCAGCTCACCCCGGAAGTCCAGTTGTGCTAGAGGGACCAAACACAAGAACCGTACCAGCTCGGCCACCACGGCAGGAGGTAGAAGCTGGGGCTTGCCACCTCCCTGCTTTAGAACCTCAATGTGACGCCACACGCAATTGAGGCCACAGAACAGCGGGCGCCTGAACATAGCAATGTATACCAGTCCTCCGGCGACCACTTGCAAATGTTTGAGGCCAGCTCGGCCCCACACAATCAGCTCCACCGCCAGCCCCATGTACTTCAGTACTTTTTCCGGGCGGGGATAAGCCACCCCTTCGTGGCCCCTGACGACCGCACCTTGCACCTCTGCCCTTTCAGCACTAACCACACTCTTCTTGGGATGCCGAGGCAGGCAGGCCGACTCGTAGGCCTTCCTGACAGCCTTCTGTTCCGGGCTCTCCCTCCCCTCCAGCCTGACGGCCAACTGGGAGTCCACTCTCTGGATGAAATCGAAGTTGTCGAGGTAGATCCTAAAAAGGCGTGAGCTCACGGGGAAACTCTTGTCTTTCCGGATCTCTTGATCTCCCGTCAAAAGGAGGGGGTCCACGCTCCTAATCACGTTACGGTGCACATGCTGGGCGATGCTAACACTGTTAAGGAACCCCATAGGGAGGACCTTGGCGGCCAGGACGCACTTCCTCCCAGTGAGGGAGGAGGGAACGAGGTCCTCGGGGACAAGCTTGTTAAACCCCAGGAATCTTTTCCACGCAGGGGGAACCTGGAAGAGATAGAAAAAGCATCTGATGTCTTCAGACGACAGGAGGGCCACTTCAGACCCCTCCAACACGAAGGCAGACATCCCCGAAATTTGGGGCAACGTTCCAACGTCACCGGAAATACCTCGGCAGTTTCTGTTCAAAGGGATCAAGTTCATGATCAACCGGAGTGTCTCCTTCCCGTTCACAAACTCGCCTTTTCCAACTCCGAACATGCCATTCAGGAGGGGTTGACCTTGTATGTGGAACAGCTCATCCAAAGGCACCACCTCGCAGATCCCCTTACCCACCAAGCCTTGGCAAATAGAAGGCCACTCTTTGGCATCGGCAAAAACTCGGGGAGGCTTGCCTAGACTCATCTCATTTGAAGGGACCAAGAAGTCCTCGAAATGGTCCACGTAAAAGCGGGTTCCAAGGGTGCAAAGCTCAGCCAACTTGAGTTTCCCTACTTCATCCGGGAGAGCAGGGGCAAGGCACTCCCAACTAAGGTTGACAGCAAGTTTCACCTCATCCCCCTTGTAGTCAATGCCTTTGACTTTCAGGAAGTCCGAGAAGTTCACATCTTGAAAAACCTCACTCCAACTCTCACAAACCTCAACGGCAGCCGCGAGTTGTTTCACGGCCATGCGTCCAGCGTGCGAGGACCGGCCTTGCGGGTCTGTGCATCCCGCAAGGGAGTTGAGACTCCGGCACACTGCGGACAGCAGCGCATGCTTGGCGGGTGAAAGCTCGGATAGGATTGCTAGGGGAAGAGGAAATACGGATTTCCCTTCCATGGGCTGGGACTTGCAGTGCAACATTCCAACATTGAACAGATCTAGCAAATCCACCAAGCATCCACCGGCCTCGCCTAAGGTTAACCCTGGGAGCCTCAGCTTGATAGCGTTCAGCCGCTCTTGCACGGCCAGAGGGCGCCCAGGAGGGGGACCTTCACGGTCGACCGCCTCCCCGGCTCCCCCAGGAGAAAACTCCACCTCGGAGTCCTCTCCCGAATGCCTCCTCTTCATCACTTCTTCTCCTCCTTCTTCTTGGGCCAATCTTTTGCACGACCCTTATCTTTCCCCTTCTCGCCTTTTCCTTTTCCGCCACCTTTCTCATCTCTGCCTCGCGGCCCATACGGCACCCAACCTGAATCTGAACCTCCTCTCCCTTGTGCCCGGGAGCCAGCAGACAAAGCTCGGGCCTCATCTCGTGCCACCTTAGCCGCATCATGCACCTCGGTATAGCGCGCCACACGGGATGCATCCATGGGCAGGAGCTCCATCTTCTGCATCACCGAGTAATGAAGGCCAGCAGCAACGCCTTCCAGGCTCTTGATCCTTTGCACCAAAAGGTCGCCTAGCTCTGCAGCCCGGCCTTGCAACAGGAGGTCCAGCCCGTAGCACAGGGTGTGCGTCTCTCGAGCCATGGGAGGTGCCATCCTCGACATCAAGGTCTGCCTGAAGTACATGGTGCTCAGAGGAGGGAGCGGGCCATCCTCCAAATCCCACAACTGCCCCGTGTTCTTCAGGAGACTGGCTCGCATCTCCCTGATTCCTTCAGCCGCCAACACGCCGGGGAAGCGGCGGCCCACCTCTTCGGGCCTCGTGCTGCATCCGAACAGCTCCTCGGGCTCCTCCTCCGACATCGAAGATGATGAGGCTCTCCCTGAGCTATCATCTGACCTTTTCCTCTTCTTCCTCACTGTCCTGGATGCACGCCTCAACACGATCTTCCTCACCACAGGGTCCGGGTCCAATCCCGTGGACCCCACCACATCCTTCAACGCCTTCCTACTTTCAAGCACCACCTTAGTCCTCTTTTTCTTTCCTCTTTTCTCCTTTGCCTCCTTCCTCTTCTTCTGATCCGCCTCCAAGTCCCCCGCCTCGGGCTCATAGGAGTTCTCATCAAGGGCAAGAGCTCCCGCAACTCCTGCATTTCTTAGCTTCTCAGCTTCTTCACGAAGGGCACGATTCTCATCGGGCTCCACCCGGCACGCATTTGACATCCACGCCTCAGAGGGCACACCCGGAACTTCGCGAAACACACGACCATGTACCAGGCCATCCTCGCAGAGCTCCTGCTCGCACTCCCGCGGGCACACATGCAGCTTGATGCGCCCTTCAGGAGTGCCTGAGACATACTCCAAGAGTCTTCCGGATCGGGTCCCCTCCACCAAGAGGTCCAAATAAACCTCGGACCCCTCAATGCGGGCACCCTTGACAACTCCCACCACCGAAGTTTCTTCCATCCAGTAAACGCATGGATCCAGCCAGATCCTCTGCAACTTTCCCAAGCTGACCATATCGAGCTCGGCCAGCACCAGTTCATCTCCTCCTCCCACACGGCGACGGCGCCTAGGAGGGTTCCCCTCATGGTCTATCACAGCAGCAGCCGGTCTCCTCAAAATCCCAGCAGGGCGCCTCACCAGCGGCAAACCTGCTGCGGGCCTCCTCAAAACCTTAGGAGGCATTGCTCCAGCCTCCTTCAACGGCCCCGAAATCGGGCCTGCCTCTCACGCTTCTTCTTGCCTTTGTTCTTCCCTCCTTTCCAAGGGACCACCGCCCGGGGTCTCCTAACTGCGCGAATGGGCCCAACCCAGGCACTGCCAACTCCCGACTCCTCAGGAACAGGAGGGGCAACCGCCTCCGGGCTATCCTCAAGAGAGGCGGCCGCCTCAGGGCTATCCTCCTCCTCCGACTCAGTGAGGGACACCTCGGAGGCCTCCCTCTTACCGGCAGCCAACTCCGGAACCTCCACAGGCAATTCCGCAGGGGAAAGGGCCCTAGGAGCCGTGGGGGATCCCTGGGAGGCACGGGCGCTCTCACAGGTGACGCAGAAGCCTCCCTCCTGCGATGCCTAGCCCTTCCTGGGCTTCTCCTCCTCCTGGAGCTGCGGCTCCTCTTGCTTTCCTTCCTCCTCCGCCTCTCCGGCGTGCGGGAAGCCCTTGGGACCTCCGGGGCTGCCTTGGAGGTAGTGGCAGGAGAGGACGCCGAGGGCGCTCCCTCCCGATCCCCTCCTGTCGGAGGGGGGCCAGCGGGCTCAGCCGGCCTGAGAGCCCCTAGCCCCGCGGGCACCACAGGTCCAGCACCACCGGCCTTGACCTGGGCGAGAGTGCGACCCTCCCGCTGTCTCTGGAGCCGAGCGCCCCAAGACAGGAGGGTCGAGGAGAAGTCCCTGATCCTTCTCCCAAGCTCCTCGCTGTCCTCCCGCTCAAAACCACGGAGGACAGCGAACCGGAGCTGCTCCAAGGAGCTACACACCGTGCACCACCGGAAGGTCCCGTACCGACCTTCACACAGTGGGCACGGCTGCTCCCCCATCCACCTACGCCAAACCTTAAGCTGACGTGGCTGCGGCAGACAAGTGCTTTACTCTTTATACCCGCTACGTGAGTCCATAGGAGGAACATCTTCCAACGCATCTGTCACATGCCGGCTCCGCCTGAGCTATGGTCGCCAAATCCCCCATGTTGGTATCCATCAGGATGGCTCGAGGGACCTGAATCGATACAACAGGCGGGAGGCTGCGTCCAACGTATGCGCAATACTGCTTGTTAACGAACAGCGGCAGCAACACATGCACAAAAGTTAAGGCAAGCGCATGTCTGATGCCTCTTCCAGCCTTCCTGCCCTCATTGAAGAACACATCCACATAGCCCTGGCAAAGAATTGATGTTGATTGTTCTTTTCACTTTGCCGGTTGGCTCCATCGGAAACTCCTAAGGCGTTACAGGCCTCAGAGCGCAGTGAGGTGCTCGACCCTATGAGAGCGAGCTGCTGGATCTCCGCTCAATAAGCTTGCATTGACTAGAAAACAAACTGACATCAAATGCACATCAAAAAGCACCTCTGAGCAATAACACCAACAAGTAAAAAAACACAACGCTCAGAAGCCAGCACCAATGAAGGCCAGCAGTTTGTTCTCAGTTGGAAACTGTGGCCGTTGGAAGCCCGCGTAAAAATTGCAGAATCGCCTTGACGATCATATTTGACGGGAATCGGAGTAGTTTTCAACTAGCAAACAGCGCACCTCCGCTAAGTGTCTCTGGCAGCGCTATTGCCCCTTCCGCAAGGATGGTCAACAGAGTGGGCAAAGTGATGCTTGAGGCAATGCTTAACAGGTCTGAACTCTCAGCGCAGCACACAACCGCAGCACACGCACTTCTGAGCAAGCTTAACAAGCACAGCTGCGCCCACACCAAGCAGCACGCCGGCAGAGTGCCAGCAGCATGGTGGAAGACAAGCAGTCTCCCCATAGTGCGCGCTGCTGCTGGCCAAGTGCCATGCCAGCGCAAACACGCGAAAGGTTCAGAGCAAGCTCAAGAAAGCGTTTCCCCGGCAAAATTGATGTGACAAGCAAGTCTCCAGCTAATAAGAACAAATACTACGCTTGATCATGGCCAAAAGGCCGAGAAGGTGTGACTTCTCTGTGTGGAGCTCCTGGCACGCAGCAAATTCAATTCTTCGCCTGCGGCCTATTCCCACACTTTCAGTAGCGCAACGCAAAGGTCTTGCCAGGCAATCATTCACTGCTAGGCGGGCGCTTCTACGCTTGACTTCGGAGGTCGAAAGAGATCGACAATTTCCTTTTACTAAAATGAATTCCAAGACACAAAACCCTACACATTCACAGCCCTTGCTCCTTTCTCATATACCTCCACCCGTCATCCATCGAGACTTAAGTCCAAAGTTGCAAATCATTACTTTTGTGTCGAAGGGCGCTTTTCCCACAGCCTTCTCCAACCCCAGCATTCCCACACCTTGCTTGCTGGAAGAAAACATCCAAACTGAGAACGTCAGCTTCAAAGTTTGAAAAAAGCAACACTTTACAATCTGTCAACCATTGTCCATTGAATGCTCCGTTGGCCATGACTCAATGCGACCATGCCAAAATCAACAGTATATGTTGTCAACAACAAACAAACTGCGTCATAATATGCCTTTCGCTGCCGACAGTTGCCAATCCAGGCCTGGCCATTACCTGAGCAAGCAGCAAGCAGCAAGCACCAACGACCTATGGCGAGGCAACACACACACACACACACACGTCTGTGGAGAGCCTTCTTGATCTTTGAAGCAGCCTCGATCGGCATCAATGTTTGTCTCGATCATATGCTCCTCCAAACAGCCAAAGCTGCAATACTTTGGTGACTGCTTCACGTTGCCAAGAATTGAGTAAGAATGTCAATCGCAGCCTCGCACATCCGCTTCCAGAACTCATTGCCGATTGCATTGCCAGCTTTGCCGATCTCGCGTACGGGCAGCTTGCAGTTTTATCAGAGGTTCAACATTCGACAGTGAATTGCGAGCTTGCGGCCTGGATGTGGATGATCTCCCTCTTGCTGGACTTAGGGCTGCGTGCTGAACAACTTCAAGCCAAGAATCTGGATCTGGACAGCCAATTGCCACTGGTTCATCCAATCTATACATGAATTTCTCTCAAATTGGGAAACTCTCAAATGGGCGGCTTGCCTTCAATTCCCAACCCTAAAACGGGTATCCTCACCCGGTGTTGGCAAACCGCGCACACCGCGGTGTTGGGACCCCGGCGGGCCGCATGGGACCTGAAAATGATGTCTTTGGCACATCGGATTCTTGGTGCTCCTTGAAATGGCCAAATCCCGTGGTGGGGAAATATGATCCGGCACGAATCGGATGGGCCTGACTCTTTGACAGGAGGGCTCATTGAGCAGCAATCGAACTCAATCAAACGCAAACAGAATTGCTTCAATCGACCTTGTGACCCCTTCTGTTTTGAACGACTCATGGCTTGGCCGCTTTACTAGGCTCGAGACCTGTCGTCCCCCTTGTCACTTTCAGGCCATGGCTAAAATCCTTCTGTCCAATCTGCTGATGGGAATGCGTTGAAATGATTTTGGACGTTTTGGTGGATGGCACCGGAACATCAAAGTGTGAAGCACATGGAAGGCCCCACTTATGCAACTGTTGGAGGGCTCAGTCAGGATGCCTCTGCTGTGCAACTCTCCCGCGAAAGTCCCTTCCTTCCCTTGATGAACTCGGCTACAGTGCGGGTCAGTGATGCCCATCTGCATGCCTGCGCAGGCTCCTTTTTGCCTCCGCGGAAGGCCTCCGCCCTGTCTCCTCAGCGCAGCCTGGCAACGTGATCCATTCCAACAAGTCCTGTTCGATCAGTGCATAATGCTCGTGCTGCTTGTCAGACCTCGCCTTGGTCGTGTGCCTTGTAGACTTTGCAAGCAAGTTCGCAATGCTTGGCTAGCCTTATTCTAGCCGGTCACACACACTCTGCGCACTCCTCTTTGGGTGGGTATTGAGGATGTCAATCAAGGACAGAAACGATGCAAAACGAGTCAGCTGAGGACTCCGGCGCAGCCAGCATGAACTCTTCCGCTTTCTTGCGACGCAGTTGCATCTGGGCGTGCTCACAGAGCATGCTCACGAATGCTTGGTATCTCCGGGCTTAGGAAAACCTCTCAAGTCTGATCATAGAACCTGTGCAATTGCATCTTTGGACCATCTGGAGCGTGGCCAGTGGAGTTTGGGCAGTGCAAAGTGATCTAGGGCTGGCACCTGTGCCCTTGCCGTTCTCCGCATGGCCTCTTCCACCTGCAAGCTATTCGACCAAGAATGCTGGCCGAAGCTGCTCCGTCAGCTTCGGATTCATACGAGGACAAAGAAATCCCCACATGAATCGATTCCCTAATAAAAGGGCAGATCACCCCGACTAGTGCCGTTCTTCGGATTTATGCTCAAAATCAGTCAGAAGGGCTTGCATGCCATGTCCCGCACCTGCTGCGCACCAAGTTGGCCACTCCACGGGGTTGGATGTCTGTGCGCTCCCTCTCACTAAAACATGAAGCAGGGATCAATGACTTTCGACATCTACTGGCCTGCGTCTTCAGCGCCTCGATCTCAAGGAGTGTCGAGTCGTCCAGGTCTTCCGGTTCATCCTAACAGAATG